CCCGGCCTTGCAGAGATTCTTAAGCATAAATAAGATGCAAAGAAACAAAGAAAGGTGTTTTCCCCTCTCCCCCCATGTCAATAGGCAGAAGCTTCTCTTAGCGAAACTAGGAAGCCATATACATGGAAGACTGATGGCTAGACTGTGGAGCTGAGATTTGATAAAGTAGGAAATACGGGGCTAATAACAGTTTGGGGTCAGGGAAAGGACAGAATGAGGAATGATAACAAATCTTATCTTTTTCACGGGAATATTGTGATGGATTCATATTTTTTCCCTAAGAAGAAAGGTAGTACATCTCCAAAATGTTATTCAAACATATTTTGCATTTATAGAAAAGGGAACTAAAGCAAAAAGGTAACAGACCTCTTGTCTCACTTCATGCTATAAGATAATCAAGAAGGAAACAGAACTCAAGGCCTCTAATCGTGGCCCATATAACGTTTTATATTACTAAATAATATCACAGCTACATACTGGTCAAAACTGGTCAACTTTGGCTTATTTATAATTCATCATATCAACTGCCATTTATATACAGAATATTTGGTGACATATTTTAATAAGTGCCAAAAAACTTTACCCTATGTAAAAGGTCATAACACCCTCAAGGAAACACAATGAATAACTCCATACAAACATGCAAATTATAATTTCAGAATCCTGAGACAAAAGTGTCTCATCCTTCCAATGTATCTTTAAAAATGCCCACTATAGGTATTTTTATATCCTTACCCTTTTACCGCTCATTACAAAGGAACTATCAATCAGTTCTATAGCACTCTTAAAACATGTTAAATGAGCCAATGTGGTTTCTTATTACACCCCAGTCTTCTCCCATTACTCCCTTTATTTTAGGTTCTAAAACTTGGGCATTATTTTCTAACCATATGCTACATGCCATGCTGGGGATTATATAACTTTTTGTTTTTATCAAAATGGTACCCTTTTGGTTTAAGCTACATCAGGCTTTCCTTAAATTTACAATTCTAAAAAAATTACCTATAAAACAGAAACGAAACGAACGGGCCCAATTAAATAGAAAAATACTTTAAAAATGATCTTCCTAGTTTTTTTTAACCACTTTACATTTGACAGATTTATAACGAAAGTGAATTATTTCCTACCATAACAAAGTTGGTATGGAAAGTGAGAGAAAATACAGACACCGCTAGACTTAAAAAATGTATGGCATATTTTCATAGCTACTGTCTCAATTTCCAAAATACACAACAAACATGCTCATGAAATTTGAGAGATAAAAAAAAAAAACTTGGATCCTTTTGAATTCACAGGCTAGGACTTGGAAGATCTGGGGTAATAGATCTTGGGTCACTAGGGCACTTTTGTCCTTTTAAATTTTTATAAATCACTAGGATTATTGAATGTAGTTAAAATTTGGCAGCAGTATTACTGCTACCCTGAGTATTTAAAAGTTTTTCTGTAATGTGAATACATAAGTCTAAAGTAGGGTATAATCTCTCAAGGAACTTTGAGTATGATTTAAAGACAAAAAAAATGTGGCAAAAAAGTGGAAATTCTTGGGCTTTTGAGTCTCTAAAAGGCTGTAGAATATTGGGACAATTATTTTTAATGAGTGTGTTTGAATTAGCATTTTTAATCGTTTGTCAACAAGGATTTTATTTTATATTGATTTAGTCCATATTTCAGGGGCAGGCATGATCGATTTTATCATAATTGTTATTAAACAATAGTTCCCAACATGAAGAAACTGTTAACTTTTTCATGAGTCTGTGAACTCCTGAAGAACCGGGCCAAGAGCATTCGAATATTCTGTTACAAGTTAGAAGTTTTTTCTTTCCTTACCGTCAGACAAAGCATTAGTATCACTTCAAGGCTACAACACCTTCTTCCCGCCACCCGCTGCCATGTCCGGTTTTGCGTCTGTAGCTGTTGCTAAACAAGGGCCTTGAAGCCAGTGAATCTACCAACCTTTACTCCACCACTTCCAGGCCAAATCTCAAAAGCAGCATCTCCCTCAATAAAAGGGACGAAGCAATTTACACGAGTGGGGGACTCTCCTGGTTCCCTAGGCTGAAGCGGTGAGCTGGGGCAGTGGGGTAACTAAAACCTGACAACGAACAGGGGCGAGAGTCTGGAAGTTGTTCGCTCACCGCAGTGGATCCTTTTTTCACCGCTTCCTGCGCATATTCCACCTGAAAAAGGTGTCCATCTGGGGAGAAGACAGTTATTGCTCTGTCATACCGAGACGCCATGCCACAGGACTACGACGACGATTCCCACCGAGCTTCTAACTCTACCGCAGCTGAGGCGGCTGAGAGGGCCGCTTGCGCCACCACGTGCTGCCTCCCGGAAGTGCTAGCCACGCGCTGAGAGCTGCCTCCCGGAAGTGCTCGCCTCTGCCCCTGTAACCCCAGCGGTGGCTGTGGGTTGGTCGTGTTCCTCCCCAGCCCTTCATAGCTGGTAAATACATCGCAGTTTTCCCACCGCAGTGTTGCCCCAGGGGTGATGTCAGGTCACTCGGGTTAAAAAATGATATCAAAGATTAGGGCTTAAAGATGAAGTCTTAAAATATTTTTGTTATGGCATACCTGTTAGAGAACCCGTGGTAAGTTAAATTTCCATTCCTTCCCTTTGATTTCACATTCTAAATTTTCCTACTCTCTTTCTCCCTCTCTCAGGTTATCTTTTGTTGTTGAAGCTAAAGAAGGAAAATTACAATTATCAAAATAGTATTGCTTTTTCCATTTTCTACCTTGTAAGCAAAATAGAGCAGATGAATAAATGGTATATCAAACTAATGCTAATGATGTGAATTAAGATAATAGTGTTTTAATTGAAGATATTTTTTAAAATCCCAAAGTATGAAACTTAAAAGATGTCTGAAATTTAGGTAATAGCAGAAACTCTGTATAACCTGGTACATTACTACCTGTGAAGTGACTCTGTTGCTTTGTCCTCATCAGTAAAATGGGAATATTTAAAAATCTGCAGCAAAGTGTTCTGAGGTTAAAATGTTTTTATAGGCATAATAACTTAAAATGGTGCCTGGTGGGTACTAATGGCCAGGTAAATTTAGCTATTATTACTTTCCATGTATTCTTTAATATATGCTGTTTTCCACTGGGGAACTTTTTTTAGCTGTTTAAAAAATTTATATATAATAATTATATTTATGGGGAACATAATGCTGTTTTGATACACACAATGTATAGTGATCAGATCAGGGTAATTAACATAGCCATCATCTAGAACATTTATCATTTCTTTGTGTTGGGAATATTCAATATCTTCTTTCTAGCTATTTGAAACTATATAATACATTACTGTTAACTATCGTCATCCTACAGTTGTATAGAGCACTAGAACTTATTCCTGCTATCTAGCTGTAATTTTGTATCCTTTAACAAATCACTCCCTGTTCACTCCCCAAGCCCCCTACCATTCCCAACCTGTTCTATCATCTGTTATACTTTTTACTTCTGTGACATCAACTTTTTTAAGCTTCCACATATGAATGAGAACATGTGGTGTTTAACTTTCTGTTCCTGGCTTATTGTACTTAACATAATGTCTTCCAGTTCCATCTATGTTGCTGTGAATGACAGGATTTTATTCTTTTTTATGGCTGAATAGTCTTGCATTGGATATATAAACCACATTTCCTTTATCCATTCATCTCTTTTTGGACACCAAGGTTGATTCCATATCTTGGCTATTGTGAATAGTGCTGCAATAAATGTGGGGATACAGATGTCTCTTTGATATAATGATTTCCTTTTCCTTGGATAAATGTCAAGTAGTGGCATTGTTGGATCTTATGGTACTCCTGTTTGTAGTTTTTGAGGAACCGCTATATAATTCTCCGTAGTGACTGTACTAGTTTATCCCACCAACAATGTAAAGAGTTCCCTTTTCTCCACAATTTCACCAGTGTTTATTTTTTCTCTTCTTAATAATAGCCATTCTAACTGGGGCAAGAGGATACCTCATTGTGGTTTTGATTTGCATTTCCCCGATGATCAGTAATGTTGAGCATTTTAAAAAATATATTTGTTGGCCATTTGTATGTCTTTGGAGAAATGTGTCTATTCAGATTGCCTGTTCTTCAATTGGATTGTTTGTCCTTTTGCTGTCGGAATGTTTGAGTTTCTTGTATATTCTGGATATAAATCCCCTGTCAGATGAATACTTTGCAAATATTTTCTCCCATTCTGTGGTTTTCTTTTCTTTTCTTTTTTCTTTTTTTTTTTTTTTTTTGAGACAGAGTCTCACTTTTTGCCCGGGCTAGAGTGAGTGCCGTGGCGTCAGCCTAGCTCACAGCAACCTCAAACTCCTGGGCTCAAGTGATCCTCCTACTTCAGCCTCTCGAGTAGCTGAGACTACAGGCATGCACCACAATGCCCGGCTAATTTTTTCTATATATATATTTTTAGTTGTCCAGATAATTTCTTTCTATTTTTAGTAGAGACGGGGTCTTGCTCCTGCTCAGGCTGGTCTCGAACTCCTGACCTTGAGTGATCCACCTGCCCCAGCCTCCCAGAGTGCTACGATTACAGGCGTGAGCCACCGTGCCTGGCCTCTGTGGTTTTCTTTTCACTCTGTTTATTATTTCCTTTGCTGTGCAGAAACATTTTAGTTTGACGTAATCCCATTTGTTTATTTTCGCTTTTGTTGCCTCTGCTTTTGAGGTCTTATGTATATAGTCTTTTTCCAGATCATTATCCTGAAGTGTTTCTCCTGTTTTCTTCTAGTAGAGTTATAGTTTTGGGTCTTACAATTAGGCTTTTGATCCATTTTGAGTTGATTTCTATATAGGGTGAGAGATATGAGTTGAGTTTTATTTTTTTGCGTATGGAAATCTAGTTTTCCCAGCACCATTTATTGAACAGACTGTCATTTCCCCAATGAGTGTTCTTAGCATCTTTGTTCAAAATCAGTTGGCTGTAGATACGTGGATTAATTTCTGGGTTCTATATTCTGTTCCTTTGGTCTATATGTCTGTTTTTATGCCAGTACCATGCTGTTTTGGTTACTATAGCTTTGTAGTATATTTTGAAGTCAGGCAGTGTACTGCCTCCAGCTTTGTTCTTTTTGTTCAGGATTGCTTTTGCTATTTGGAGTATTTTGTAGTTCCATACAAATTTTAAGATTTCTTCCTATATTTGTGAAAAATTTCATTGCTATTTTGATAGGGATTACATAGAATCTGTAGATGCTTTGGATGGTCTGGTTACTTTAATAATATTATTTCTTCATATCCATAAATATGAGATGTCTTTTCATTTGTATTCTCTTCAATTTCTTTCATCAGTGTTTTGTAGTTTTCCTTGTAGAGGTCTTTCAACTCCTTCATTAAATTTATTCCTAAGTATTTTTTTATAGCTATTCTAAATGGGATTGCCTTCTTGATTTCTTTTTGAGCTAGTTCATTGTTCATGTATAGAAACACTACTGATTTTTGTGTGTTTATTTGTATCTTGCAGTTTTACTATATTTGTTCATCAATTTTAACAGTTTTTATGCAGAGTTTTAAGTTTTTTCTATGTATAAGATCACATCATCTGAAAACAGTGACAGTTTGACTTCTTCTTTTCCAATCTGGATGCCCTTTGTTTCTTTCTCATGCCTAATTATTCTGGCTAGGACTTCCAGTGCTATTAATATGTTGAAAAAAAGAGGTGAAAGTGGGCATTCTTGTCTTGTTCCAGTTCTTAGAAGAAAAGCTTTCAACTTTTTCCCATTCAATATGATGTTAGCTGAAGATTTGTGATATATGACCTGTTGTGTTGAGGTACATTCCTCTCTATACTTAATTTGGTGAGAGTTTTTTTTTTCATAAAATAATGTTGAATTTTATTAAATGCTTTTTCTGGTTTTATTGAGATGATCATATGGTTTTTGTCCTTCATTCTGTTGCTGTGTTGTATCACATTTATTGATTTGTGTATGTCGAACCATTCTTGCATCCCTGGGATAAATTTCGTTTAATCATGATGAATGATTTTTTTTGACATATTGTTGGATTTGGTTTGGTAGTATTTTGTTAATCATTTTTGCATCTATGTTCATCAGAGATTGTCCTGTAGTTTTCTTTTTTGGTTGTGTCCTGGCATGGTTTTGGATTCAGGCTGATGTTGGCCTCACAGAACAAGTCCAGAAGAATTCCCTTCTCTTCAAGGTTTTGGAATATTTTCAGAAGAATTAATGTTAGTTCCTCTTTAAATGTCTGGTAGAATTTCGGCAGTAAAAACATCTGGTCCTGAGCTGTTTTTTCGTTTGTTTGTTTTTTTTTTTGAGACAGAGTCTCACTCTGTTGCCTCGGCTAAAGTGCCATGGCTTCAACCTAGCTCACAGCAACCTCAAACTCCTGGGCTCAAGCAATCCTTCTGCCTCAGCTTCCCAAGTAGCTGGAACTACAGGCATGCACCACCATGCCTGGCTAATTTTTTTTATATATTTTTAGTTGTCCGGCTAATTTCTTTCTATTTTTAGTAGAGACTGGGTCTTGCTCTTGATCAGTCTGGTCTTGAACTCCTGAATTCAAACAATCCACCCGCCTTGGCCTCCCAGAGTGCTAGGATTACAGACGTGAGCCACCATACCCGGCCCTGAACTGTTTTTTGTTGGAAGACTTTTTATTACTAATTCAATCTTGTTACTTGTAATTGATCTGTTCAGGTTTTCTGTTTCTTCTTGGTTCAATCTTGTAGGTTATATGTGGCCAGGAATTTATCCATTTCCTCTAAGTTTTTAAATTTATTGTTATATAGTTGTTAATCATTATCTGTGACGATCCTTTGCATTTCTTTGCTATCTTTTGCTATGGCTTCTTTTTTGTTTCTGATTTTATTTGTTTGAGTCTTCTCTCTTTTTTCGTAGTCTAGCTAATGGTTTGTCAATATTGTTTATCTTTTCAAAACGCCAACTTTTTGTTTTGTTGATTTTTTTGTATTTTTTTTTTGGTCTTAATTTTGTTTATTTCTTCTCTGATCTCTATTATTTCTTTCCTTCTGATTTGGTTTGTTCTTGCTTTCCTAGTTCCTTGAGATGTATTATTAAGTTGTTTATTTGAAATCTTCTTAGCTTTTTGATGTAGGCATTTATTGGTGTAAACTTGCCTCTTATTATTGCTTTTGCTCTGCTCCACAGGTTTTAGTATGTTGTGTTTCTAGTTTCATTTGTTTCAAGGAATTTTAAAATTTCATTCTTAATTTCTTCCTTCACCCATTGGCCATTCAGGAGACTGTTGTTT